TTGCTTGGAATAGAAGCAAGAGTTGATAGGTTTGTTTCAACTTTATGAGGTCTTGTTGTCTTTTTGATGTGGTTTATGAGCAGATTGTCATTGTCACTCACTTTTGTCTTTGCATCCTACAAAGAAGGCTTGTAATTCAAAAGATACATCTTTTATGGTTGTTTCTTTTTAAAAAAGAATTACAATGAGTCTTAAAGATATTACAATCTCAATAGTTTGAAGCATTTGAATAATAGTACCATATTGTGATAGCATGAATCTCATTACCATAAAGATTTCTATTTGTAGAAGTATTATTACTCTCATGGCATGACATTGTTGAAATAAGAACTTAAAATTGTATAGATATTATATGATTGATTCTTCAACTTTCATTTTTTGCATGATGAGTTTTTCTAATAGTTATGCATGAGTGATTATATAATTAGTAGAATATGTATTTTTAAAAATTAGCCATGCTTTATTGGTTGTTTTACACAATCCCACATATAAGAAAAGTGAATTTTTCATAGAATCCCTTATTGTCGCTAGAACAACATAATCTTTATTTTTCTAAGTAAAGATTTTAGTTTGATTGATTGGTGGTGTTGTTGTCCTTGCATTTACTTTAATGATTCTTTTGCCATTTCAAAAACTAGATTCTATTTGCTTTCTATTGTGAACTTCATCTGAAATGTTCTATCAAACTTAGGCCATTCTTTTGTAGCAAGGTTACTAGTAGCCATTTTTTAAGAAATAAGAAGTAACTTAGTACGTAATTTCTATATAAAATATCTTATATAAAACTTTTTTCTTTTTCTTTTTGTTTCTTATTTATTATTTTTTTGAACTTCATTTCATAGATCTTTCAAAAAAATTCTCTAATATCATATTAAAACTACGAGATTTTAAGAGAGATTAAACTACTATATATTTTTTTTTAGATGTGAAGTTTGTATAAAGTTTATTTTGTTAAAGATGATGCATCTATAAGGATTGCAACCTCTCAATAGGATGCAATTATTTACTTTGTTTTTAATACAATATTATGATTGCTTAATTGAATGTAAAATTCCAATTGCCATTGTCTTTGTAACTTGTAGTTTGAATCTACTCATTTATAAATACATACACATGAAGAACCAATCAATACTTAAAATCATCCCTTTAACTTGACTTTGAGGCATTGTCCAAGCAAACATAGAAAGCATGCTAATATTAGATGTTAAGATAACAATAATAATGACAATTGGCATCACCATAAGTTCCAGTCAAAAGAATAATAGTATATCAATAGCCATAGTACTTTCATATTGTTGGCATTTATGCTACAATATAATTTCCTATAATACTAATTGATGCCAATACTCATGTTGAGTGACATCATGAAGTGCTACACTTACCAAGCTCTAAATATTAACTACTAGAAAGTAGCATCAAATGTCTACATCTAAGTAATTGAATATATAGAAATAACCATTATTCTCAAAAACAAAAATAATCATACACTTTTTTACTCTTACTGAAAGTATGATCACAAGTATAGTTAGAACTGATAAAGTCACGTAAAGAGATCATTCAAGATGTAGACAATGTTCCTACAACAAATGGCCATATTATAGTGATTGGTGTTGAAATGTTGACAAGAAGGTGAAGTCAAGCTTTACCTTAAATGTGACGGTTGCAATGATGGATTCTTATGGGTAGGTTTATGTAAAATTATATCCATGCTTACTGCAATTTTAACTGTGAATATAAAGCTACAAATTATATTGGTACCTAACCAAATATAATGTAGAGCAAAAAGTGAAATAATAATAATAATAATTATTATTATTATTATTATAAGCTAATACTAAAATTACTTTGTAAGTAAAAAGTTTATAGTATCAATTCAAGATTGTTGAAGTTTATACTAAAAAGTATATATAAATATACAAACATATGTGTATATATAGATATATATATATATATATATATATATATATATACATGTATTAATATGCAATATTAATTATCTTTCCAAAATGACTAAGAATAATGGATTTGCCAACCACATAGTCAGTCATGGAAATTCTTTTTATTTAAAGCTTCAAATAGTTGTATTTGTGGATCTATTTATTAATTGCATCTCACAAAGCAATCTCTAAGCCAAGCTAAGGCATTTTTTTATATAGTATTGAAAAAGTCTTGGTCATTGAGAAATCACAAGCTTGTGATTACAAACACATTAATCTTCTATAATATTCATGTTCTAAACAAATTTATTGCAAATAGACACAACTTCTAATGTAGTTAGTTTTTACATCCATGATTTCATTGAAGCAAGATTATATGCTTCTATTATTATATGTATTTATTGATAGTATTAAGGAATCAACCACTATCAAATCACTAATTTTTTTGTTAAGATTGGACTTCTCTAGACAATCTCTTTATTCAAAAACATCACCAAAAGTAAAAGATATTTTATCACTTAATTAAATAATCTTTTATTTTACATATATATATAATTTTTTATGAATTCAAAAAAAATATATTAAAAAATCAAATTAAATTAAATTATAAATAAGAATAATATATATATATATATATATATATATTACAAAGATTATAATAATAATATTATAAAGATTCAATTATATATGTACATTTATGTACATACACATTTTTTTAAAATAAGAAATAGAAATATTCCTTAATAAAAAATAAAATATTCATAGTATGTTTTTAAAAATATCTAATAATATAATTTAAAATTCAAAATTTAAAAAGATAGATGAGACTAATTACATTTAAATAAATTTGGGCATATAAAATAATATATATATTAATTATAAAATCTTCAAAAACCAATTTTATATTTTATTTTGAAACAAAAATAATTTTCACATAGCAAAATAATTTTTTAATTATTAGTTATTAAAATAAATACATATATAAATAATGAATCAATATCAAATATTTTAGTCTAAATTTTAAATTTAACAAAAATATAATATATTAAGATTTATTCGATAAAATCATATTAATTAACCAATGACTTATATTACTTTTAAAGTTGTTAATTAAAAGATTGTTTTAAAAAAAAAAAATCAATATTTTAGTTCTAGACATCCATCTTTCATCATAGCTTTACATATAATTTAATTTGAATCTTAAATAGCCATATATAGTCATAATAAAGAGATATCCATGGTTTGTTAATAGTAATCTAAAAATAAACTAATATATTTGAAGAAAATTCATAAAATAATTGTTATCCTTTACATAATATATTATTATTTTAATATTTTAGTATACATGTATGTATGTTTATATTTCTATATATATATATATATATATATATATAGATTATTGCTAATTCTACCATAGTTTTTGCTATTATCACCACAATTTTCCATCCAATACATGTCATTATAACTTTTGCTTATGTCACCATAGTTTGTCACCTATTCAATATATTTTTTTAGGTTTTTTATATTCTAATAAAAAATTCTATTAAAATTTTTATTTTTTTAAAAAAAATTATTTTAAAAATTATTCTTATTTTAATAAAAAATAATTCAAAAATAATTCAAAACTAGCTATTAAAATATTAAAATTATAATGGCATAAGCATTAATTTATATATATATATATATATATATATATATACATATAGATAAAAAAAATGTAATTGATAAAAAATAAAAATAAATAAAAATTTTAAAATTAATATAGATGGAAATATATTATTTCATCTAATATATATGTTAAATACATAAAATAACATTCCAAATAAATAAATAAATATATATATGGAAAATTATGTATATTAGTAGATATATATACTTCTCCAAGTATGTATTTATAAATATATATATATATATATATATATATATATATTTATACTTGTGACTTATAATTTAAAATATATTATATCTATAAGTATAGATAATCATGTCAATATCAAAATGAATAATAATACCTTTGTATAGAAATGTAGTTTTATTATACAAAATAATTCTCTAAACCTATACAAATATTTTTTATCCAAATCTTTTTTAAAAAATTAAGTTTGTTTGCATTTTATTTATGTTTGCAAAGAATAAGTATCTTGATGTTGCATTTTTACTTTTTGATGTCATACTTGTAGCTCTCCATTATTCTTTTACCACCCTTTCACAATAAATGATACACAAATAATTGGCTTCTTTAATTTCTCGGTGGCAAATTTTGTTGCCATACAAATTGTATCATGGTCCTTATCAACATCAACTAAATTTCAAGCCTAAGTTGAGATTGGAGAGTATCAAGTTTCAAATTAAATTATGATTTTTAGATGCTATTAATATTAAACTTCAAACTCTTACAATGTCACTCACAAAGCTTGACAAATTTTGAAGTTCATAAAAATTGTCTTCTCAACAATACAACAACGGCCAAATAGGATTAGGAGTTATTTTTCATATTTACATGTCCTTATCAATTGTGCTACCAATCTAGACCACCTACTTCTACAAGCAACTTCCAAGCATTGTGTTCTCCAACATGTATACATTCAATGACATCAACAATCTAACCATGAATAAAATTAAAGCAAAGCCTATGTCACTTGGCTACAAACTTCCTTGCAGCGACGGCTATCACAATCAAACTTTCAAATTGCTCCAAATTTGCAATAGTACCCAAAAATAAACCGGGAATAGAGACACTAGAGTACAAGAGAGAGGACCAGCTGTGGAACGATTTAGTGTATGTAAGAAACTGAACTAATGGAGAGGGACCAACAAGAACACTTGTAGAGTCTCACAATCCTTCAATTATCATTTAGAAAATTGTAAGAGTTCAGTATTTAGACCAAAATTGCTTCAATATGCTCATATTTAGACCAAAACTGGCTGATGGGAAGCATTGAAGACTCCGTAGCCAAATTGAACTCCACAGAGGTACGCAAGAAGCTCAAATATCAAAAGGCAACCACAGTACGGGAGTTGCGGCTGCCCATACCCTTGTAGAGCAGCTCATCAAAACAGGGGTTTAAAGATAAGAAATAGATGCAAACCTTGTCACAATGTTTGACATCAATATGAATTTGTATTAAGATTGGGATGGGTACCCAGATATCACAAAGAAGGGTACAAAAATGAATATGAACAAATTTCTGAAAGAGATCCAAATAATAACTTGGCCAGATTCCTGGCAACACAGTCCTTGTTTGCAAGAAAAACTGCCTATATCATTTGATTTCCCATGCCAACATCAATCAACGTCCCAATTCTCTCTCCACTTAGAGCTTTTGAGATGTTGCCTGCCTTGCTCAAATTGAACACAACCACTGCAAACAGATAGATCTGGTCATTGCATTATTCTTTCTGACCCAACCAACTAACCTACAAAAAATCCAAAAAATCATGACAGAAAAAGTGACAAACAATCCCCTCTAATTCCTAATCTACCTACATGGTCATCAACTAGCAGAATCGATGTCATACTACAGGATGTCATTAGGATTAGCTAGAAACATATGATTGATTTCAGCAACACGTCGCGCAAAATTTCATAACCAATGGCATAGATAGGTAGGAGCCACACCAGGAATGCAGTTCTCTTGACAGAGAGTGATGGCCGTGATGTCCATGACTGAGAGACCTTTAATAGCAACTTCCCGGTATGAGACATGCTTTAGCAAAGTAGCGTCTTTGTTCTTCCTTGGATCACAATCATACACACCGTCCACGTTTGTTGCTTTCAGCACCACCTCTGCACCAACTGTGAGTCCACACAGCCAAAACAATGTTAGATAATGACGCAATTTGCACAAACCAGCAGAATCATAACTACTAAAACACGCTATTGAAGCAGCGTTGCGATGAGAGGAGATAATCCATGAATCAAAATTCTTGTAGTCAATATGCTTGCTCTTACTTTCAGCAGCTCGAAGGGCAGCTGCGGTATCTGTAGTGAAGAATGGGTTGCCTGTGCCAGCACCGAAGATGACAACTCTGCCCTTTTCCAAATGACGAATGGCTCTCCTGCGTATATAGGGCTCTGCAACCTCATTCATTCTGAAGGCAGTCTGCACACGTGTGGGCACGCCAATACTTTCCATTGAGGCCTGAAGAAATATAGCGTTCATAACAGTGGCCATCATGCTGCCAGCATCCACGCCAGATGTAGCATTGAACAATTAGCGCTTGTGTGTGAATTTCACATCTAAAAGCGTACCATATGATCCAATCATGATATCGCATACATTATCGTAGCAACTCTCCGTTGCTTCAAGTGGAAGCCTCATCCTAATCTACGAAGTCACCCTATTACGAAATGGAGTCAGATGGAACCCATCAACATGGTAGGTTAGTATCATGTACCCTATCTGGTCGGCTGATGCACGATCAAGTCCACTGGCACCAACCCAGCTTGCTCCTCGGAAGAAATTACCACCTCCTACAACAATAGCTACCTGCATTATAAAGGCGGTTCACAGGTTATTCACGTCGGGACTTAGGCGGGACGATGCAAAACTATAAAAAAGGAGAAAGATCTTAAAACTTCGAGGGGGATCGCAACTTCTCAGCAAGCAACAATTCTCGTGTCCACACAAGATAAAATCACCTCCACACCCAATCGTGTTATGGCTGCTACTTCTCGAGCAATTGCCATTGTGACCTACACACCAAAAGGAAATCAGTATTAGCATGCGGTGCTTCATAATGCACGGTATCAAACGAGTAACAAACAAATGATGAAAATATAATACTGTCTCCTAATCATGGCAGCATCATTTTGAGAATTAGAACCTGAATTACATCACAGAAGGTGGTTAAAACTAGTGATTTAAGCATTACACAGCAACGGGCGGAAGTGAGATGAAATCATGGCATTGCCACTCAGTATAGAACTGCACCTTGGGATCTATGTTTTGGGTGCCATCCCCTGAAAGAGCCTCCCCGCTGACTTTCAACAGCACTCTGCGCCAACGGTAGGAGTAACCTGGATTCTTTGAGCTCATGGTTGACAATCCCGTTTTCCTGAAGTCTTCCTCGAAAGACCTGCAACAGTTGCCACACTCTTAAAACTTGTCAACACATCACTGTACCGACTGGCATTTCTATAACTCGCTACCACTACAAACTCCGACACCAATATGCCTCGAAATCACTTAAGCCCTAGTTAAACCCTCATTAAACCCTTGCTAACCCCTTTCGTGTCTCAGCTTCTTCCCGAGTGAGTCGCATTATTGACTCAATTCCATGGCAATTGGCATAATTAAAAACTACACAAAATCAAACGAGGCAAACTTGCAGCTCAGACCTAAAGACACAGGAACCCACCTCGGATCATTGAACATGTCCAGATCGGGGAGGGATCCAAGGGCATGAGTCCGGCCCAGCATCTGACGCATTTGCGTCTCCAGCCCAAACAGCGCCGCTCGTCTTGCACCGCCAATCCTTTCACTTTCTTCAAACCCTGGAGGAGATCCCAGCGCTTGCGGTGTCCGCAACTCGAATGTGGGAGAGTAAACCCTGTGCTGACTTTTCCCTCTGGCGCTTCTTGATGTTAAGTCCAAAATGTGAAGAGTCGAAGGCAAAGGCGATGACAATGAGCTCAAGTCGGATGACTTCAAGGTCATGGGAGTGCAGTGACAAGGGCTACACGCCACCACCGCCATCGCAGAATTCTTCAAACCACTCCAAACCACTATACACAGCCACAAGAGACAGAAAGAGCAGGTTCAAACCCCCAAAAACTTGACCAATGCTTCAAGTTCCTACGCACCCAATTCTAGAAATCTTCAACTAAACTTGCGTAGAGAGATTGGATCCCAAACTGCATCACCCACGTCTCCGAAACCTGAACAGACAGCAATAACAGAGCTCTCAGAATCCACACCTCAACAGAAGGAGATGAGGAGCTGTGGATGGCCCATCTTTTACGTGCAACACCCTTCTTTTAGTACATGGACGGCGTAGATTTCCGGTAAGAGAAATCTGACGGCAAAATTCCCGTCATCGTGGTTTTCTCCGGTGAGGCCCTACTCGAGTCTTTCGAAAGTGGATAACTTGCCTAAGAGATTCCTTTCCTCGTTCGCGGTTCTTACTTTATCGTCACTTTTACTTTTCATCAGAATCGGGGTAGATTCCGCTTCTTTACAGGTCACTGGACAGAATCCTGAGCTCTCGGTGCCTTTTGTCGTTAACTTTTTCAGAGTCGGTCGAAGTGGATGGGGTTGGTTCAATGTCAAAGTATCTGGACTCTTTTCACGCTGACATGAAGCAATTGGCCAACTTTGTCAGTTGAGTAATAAAGCAGCACTTTTATAATGTGGAAAGAGATATTCATGTTCTTTAAAGCCCACATGCACAATTCATGAATAGTAAAACCTAGGACACATGCTCTAAAAGATGGAAGTAGAGGAGTTGGACGATCATGTAAATCATGCCCTCCAATGTGCAACCTAAAAAGCAAAACATGTGATGAGTATGTGTGTTATTTGTATTTGTATTATACTCCTTGTAGGTGTATGTTTAGAAACACAAAGAATGTTTTTGTTTTTTGTTTTGTTCTAAAACAAAAAAAAACAGAACAAAGATTAGAATGTTGTTTAAATTTAATGTGAACACATATTGAATTATATATACCTATGTGTGGGTAATTAGTTGAATTTTATATAAAAATATTTACACAAAAAATTATTTGGATTCATTATTTTTTTTATAAAATTTTAAATGTTGATATTTTAGAAGAGCATAAAAATTATTCAAAATATATGTAAAGTTATACAAATAAAAAAATAAAATTTAAAGTTATTTTTTTATCTATATATATATATATTTATATATACTTTATTCAAATTTTATGTTTAAAATAATATCTCAATCTAAAAAAATTAAAGTTTTTAAATTTTACACAAATATCATAAAAATAAATAAGTGGATAAACAGATAAATTTGTGATATTAAATATGTGAAATTTAATATTTTAATATATTGATTAGAAAACTGAAATATTATGCTTTTAAGTTCGGATTCAGATTTTTTATATTACTTAGTATTAAATAAATAAATAATTGTGAACAACTAGTATTTATAACTGATTTTAGTTTTATCGTGATATTATTTAAATGGATATTTTACAAATCAAGAAATATATATTTATCTATTTTTTTTAGGTTCTTCTATTTTTATTTCTATTAAATTAGGTAATATAGGTAATTATAACATACATGATAAACTAATCATGCATGTGAAAAAAACTTGATTGAATACTATAATCACATATTAATTTTTTTAATTAATATTTTTTTATTAACTTGTAAAAGCATCAGTATTTATATTTATTATTTATTTGTAAACCGTATTATTCATACATATATATAAATAGGCACTTTGTAATCACCATCTAATAAATTTTTTGATAAGTAATTAAACCATTTTTCATTCATATTTCAAATTCAAATTATAATTAAAAATATTTTTTTGTTTTTATTTTATTTATTTTCATAATAACAATTCAACTTGCAATACAATTCAACTTGGATTGTATTTATCTACATTATCTATAATTATAATTATTAATATAAATTATCAAAAATCACATGTATTTTTAATATATTCTTATATTTTTATTTTTTATTTTTAAAAATTCTAAAAATAATAGAGATTGTTTTTAAAATACAATTTATCATTAGTTAATAAATTGTATAATTTTAAGGATAAAACTTTGAAGGTTGAAAAATAAACAAGTGAGATGTTTTTCAAAAGAAGATGACAAAAAACAAAAAAATAACAAAATAACAAAACAAAACAAAAATAAACAAAATGAAAAGGGACATATGTTCAAAAACAAATTGGAAAGGTTATTATTAAGATAAAAAATCTATAGACTCTTGTAACTAGATTAGAAGCAAGAAAGTAATTGACAAGAATAAAGAGTTCAACTTACAAGATACATGTTTAACTTGCAAAGAGATTTTTTACATTTGCACTATATTGCCGATTTGTACTATAAATGGCCAACATGTGTAACATGTGGCCAATTTCTTGACCAAGTTTTCAATCTACCAATCACCTAAAAACAAGTATAAAGTCATAACTACATCTATAAAGCTTCTTTTTATATATTATATAATTTATTTACTTATATTTATTTCTATTTAATTCTATTTATTAAAAAATTATTAATGTCAATTATGGTTGTGAAATTTTAATGGATGTTGTCAATAAAAAGCATTGACATTATTTGTTATATTTGCAAGAATCTTAGATGGCTCTCATGTGAATTTACTAATATTATATTTGCACCATTGTATAAGATATTCTAACATGTTTTGGCACCTCCTTAAATCTAAAATCTCTTCTATTTCAAATTTATCATTATTTTCTACTTTTATAAGAAGATGTAGTACTTGTCTTTTTTTCAATATATTTACTATCTTTAATAGCTTTAAAAGAGACACATAGAATACATGATAGATCTTCATAAACTTTAATAGGTGTAATTAATATGCAACTAGATTGATGTCTTTACAAATGGTCTAAGTATATAGTAATTTAACTTGTCATAAGGGCAAATAATCTTGAAATTATAACAAAGTAATTATACCTTGTTGCCAACATGTAATTGAAGTTGTTTCTTGCAATATGCATCTGCTTTGATCTTTTATTATTTTTAAATTTTATTTATTTGTTTGTTTATTTACATGTGATATATACAACAAATTATTTGTTTCTTTATATGTGATAAATTTTGTATATAATAAAAAATATGCCAATTTAGTGAAAGAATCTACTATCATATATATAGAGTCATAAGAACTTGAAATTAGCACATTTGTGATAAAATCTAACAAATAAAAGACTATGATTGTAGTAGTATAAGAAGTGATTGGAGAAGTCTATAAGGTGGATGATGAGAAACTTTTGATTTTACACAAATATCACATGATTGTAGAAAATTCTTAACTATCTTCTATATTTGGGGCAACCAAAAAATCTCTCAAGATTAATTGTAAGATATTATTGTATCTAAAATATTATGTCATGTTGTATTTAAAATTGTGATAAGCCTAAAAAGCTTCTATTTGTACTTCATCTTTGGAACATATAAATTTCTTTTAAAATATAATAGATTATTTTTGAATTAAAATTTAGAAGTATTATAAAATTTAGAAGAATTATTTTTAATATCATAAACAAGAAGATCAAAGTTTTTTTTTTTTTTTTTTTTTTTTTTGACTTGATCAAAAAAAATTGAATCAATAGTAAATATTGATTTAAGTGCTTGAAGATGAAATTAATTTGGCTTCAAAGGAATAATTTGTTGTTAATCAAAAACTACATTTTTTTTAATTTTTTTTTTGTTGATGCAAGATAAATATATTTAGAAAGTACATTTGATAAAAATTATTGTTTTTTTAGTGGATGAGTAATATTGAATATAAATTTTAATAAAAATTTACTCCAACAGGCTTGGTAACAATTCAAAATGCATGCTAGTATAAAGTACTTGAAGTTCTTATAATTTGTATAAACAATCATTAGACTTAGAAAAAACCTTCTCATTAATGGCCCCATTCTTAAAATAAATCTACAATTGCAACAAGTTTTTTATTATCAATCTTGTAATTGATTGTGGCTATTGAAATTCTTAAATAAAAAATTACATGCTAAAATTTATTATTTTCTTCCATTTATGATAATGTTGCATCCAAAAGCAAGTTTAATGTGTTTGCTTTTATAAAGAATGACTTAAAAAAGTCAACACTACACAAGATTGGAGTTGTATTAAAAACTATCTTAAAAGCTTCAAATAGTGCTTTAACTTTTTTATTCAATTCAAGTTTGTCTTTACAAGTCAAATTTATAAATAGAGCTGTAACTTACAAAAATCCTCTAATAAAAATCTAATAGTATTTAATAAATTTCAAAAATAATTAGATATCTTTTATTATCATTAGAATCTTCCTATTTATGATAGTCTAAAATATTTTAGAATCCATCATGAAATCAAAATTTAAAATAATATATTCTTAGAAGTTAACTTGAGTTGTATAAAATATGCACTTTTTTATCTTAACAAATAATCTTGCATCTCTAAGTTTTTAAAACAAACAAAAAATATGAAATTTATGCTTTTATTTGTTTTTAGAATAAATAAAAATATCTTTTAGATATCAAAAGATAAAATCATATAAATTTTTTTAAAAAAATATTATTCATTAGATGATGAAAAACAACTAGCATATTTGTGAGTCTAAACAATATAGCATTGTATTTCACATACATATATTTGATTCAAAATTAAGTCTTCTATTTATCTCCTTCTTTAATACATACAAAATTATATGTTTTTGTAAATTTATTTTTGTATAGAACTTGGCTAAATTTAATTGATCAAAAAGTCTTGATATTAAGAATAAAAAAAATATATCATTGATGGAAATATTATTGGATCCTCAATAATCTACATACATCTATAATTATTTTTTTCTTTACAAATAAGATAAGAGACTTGATAAGAATTTTGAATGATATATGAAGTTTTTCACCATGTTTTCATTAATGTATTCATTGAATTGAGCCAACTCATTTTTTAAGAAGCTAAAGATTAGTTCAAATGATAGTTGAGCTCTTTATTAAAGGTCAATTTAACAATCATAAAAAAAAAAAAATCTTAAAAAATATCTGCATTCTTCTACTAAAAAATGTCTTGGTAATCTTGATAGTAGATTGAAATTTTGCTTGAAGTCTTTCTACTATAAAAAATAGATGTAGCATAAATAACAAAAAGCGGACTTTCTTTTATAACATGCATAAAAGCTCTTTCATCTATAAATAAATTTTTTGTTGTATTAGATTAATGATTTTTTACTTGATTAGTAAAAATCTTGATTAAATTTTTTAA